CTGGGGAAGAATGAAGCCATCGGCAAGATCTTCACGGGCTGCAACTCCACCGGCACAGAGCTGCGGCACTGGTCCGACATGCTGGCCAACCCCCGGCGGCCCATCGCCCAGTGGCACTCGCTGAAGCCAGAGGAAGAAGTAGATGCAGCTCTTGGGAAGAACAAATAGGCGGCTCTGGCGGCCGGCGCGGCACTCGGACAGTCGACGCGGCCCAGAGCTACTGATACCTCGGTTCTGCAACCTCCCGTCTTGGTTTTTTTGTTCTGTTTTAAGCTGAAATGCCCTTTGATGGCTCTGGAAGGGTTTCCAGGCAGTCCCAATAGCTTCCAGGGGAAGAGGTTAAAGACACGGATGGTTCTTTTCGTTCTTCAGCATCGCTCCCTTTGTGCTGCACGTCCCGCCGCCTCCGCTCACCATCCCTTCCCAGTGCAAAGCCACCGGCGTGCCTGGGACCTTCCCTGGCAGCCACGTCACCAGCCTGCAGCACTGCTGCTGTCATCCTTCCCTTGGGATCACGTGGGGAACCATGGAAAGTTGCATGGAGGTGATACCGGAGACTGACGGTGTGGAATGACTAGACCCACTGTGCTTGCTCGGGTCATGGTCAGCTGTAGGACAGCAAAACAGTGGAGAAGACCCTCTGGAAAGATCCAGGTGCCTCCCCCTGGTCTTCCCCAGGGATGGCTGAATGCACTTGGTCAGCTCCAGGTTTGGCTTCTCTGGGGAGAGGTTTGCAGGGGATCCTCTCTGTGGCTGGCGTGGTGGTGGGGTGCTGAGCCCTTGGTGTTGCAACTGGAGCTGTGGGGGCCTGTCTGAGCCCCGGGGGGGCTGCTCTGAGGAGACATGTGGATGTGGATGCACCATCAGTGCATCAATCACCACCATCACCACCATCTCCATTGTGTCCCCGGAGGCCAAGCAAGGGCAGTGCTGGGTGGAATCTGTAGGTCAAGATGCTTCCACAAGGCAGGTTTATGCTGAGAGGTCTCCAAACGTGGTGAGGGCAGAACCCCAGAGCAGTGCCAGGTGCCTCCCCAAAGCCCATCCATTGTGTGTCGCCAGGGCTCAGACCCACCGTGGGTACCCCGGCACAGCCTGGGGGCAGCTGGGGGGGGCTTTGGGGAGCTCCAGCCCCACCACTGCAGCCCACCTGATGTAGACGACGAGAGCGAGCCCAGGGCCAAAAAGGGACCAAAGCCTTTGACCCCCACAAGCTGCTACTCCCCACCAGGCCACTGGCTGCCAAATACACTCCATCCTGCTCCCTTCAGGGTGTTTAAGCCATATCCGTGTCCCTGACAGTGGGCAAGAGCTTCTCTGAACCACCTCTCCCACTGCCAGACCAAGCCCCTGAGCTGGAAAGCCAACACTGTTCCCTGCAGCTGGGAGAGGATCCAGCAGCCCTGCCCAGTTCAGCCCAGTTTGTACTGGAGCTCTGACATGAGCTGGTGTCCCCATCCCAGCTTTGACTCCCCGTCAGCCTCACACTCACAGCTCCACTTGGCTTCCCTGGACTCGGTTTTGGGGGTTCTGCCACAGTGCAGCAGTGAAGGGCGTTGCTGCAATGGAGCTGAGCCCCGGGGACGCCCCAGCACTGGGGACGCTGCTCTCGGGGTCCAGTGCCTGGGCTGGGACCTTGGTGCAGCGTGTCCTGAGTCTGGGGACAAAGTGCCAAAACTGAGCTCAGCTCAGCAGTGTTGGAGGCTTCAGCAGCTCCCACAGCTCCCGGTTCCGAAAGGGGATCCTGGCCCTGGCTGGAGGTGGGGAGATGATGGGAAATTTGGTGGCAGCCACATCTCAGGGGTTTCAGATGGACACAGGGATCAGCCCTTGCCCCTAGAGGGACGTGCAGCTCTGGGACAGTTCCCCAGGGAAGGATGGCTCCATCCTTAGGAACTTTGGGCTCAGATAACCAAGCTGCATGGGGGGGGGATGTTGGATGGGAACCTCCAACGACCACCTCCACCTCCACCATGGCTGCGCTTGGCTCATGCCCTGGTTAAAGTGGCACTAGGGTCACATCAGGTTTGAAGGGGTCATCAAGCAAGTGGTCCCACAAGGCCATCTCCAGCTTTAATAAGTCCCTTTTCCTAATCAATGTGTCAGCGTCAGCAAATGGGTCTTGCCCTGCTCCTGTAGCCAAAGGGAGAAGAAGTCTTGGGATACTTTTAATTAAAGGGGGAGTTGAGAGGGTGAGGATGCCCCACGGCGAGGAGCACTAGCTGGATTCAGTCTCACTTTGGGCTCCATCCAGCCACTGGTTGAGGTGGGGGTTTACCTTACACGGAAATGGGTTAAAAAAGAAGAAATTGGAAAGAGCACTGAAATCCTCCTGTTGGCAGTCAGAGAGAGTGCACAGCCCTGCAGCCTCCCCTGGGGAGCAGGTGGAGTTGTGCACACCTGTACACGTGCACACCTATACACCTGCACAGCTGTACACACCTGTACACACCTGTACCCCTGCACCCCCTCCTGTGCACCCCCATCCACACCCCTCCACCCCCACACCCCACCCGCACCCCCAGACCTGCCAGGGTCTCACCAGGAGCGGAGATCCCACCTGGCTGGTTTCCATTCAGACTCTCTAAGCCTTGGGGGGTGGGAGGGGGAAGACTGTGACTTTAATACATAATTTAATTTATTTTTTTTTTAATAAAAAGGGGAAAACCAACCAACGTATTGAAGCCATCTGCGCTGCCTCTGACCCCCCTCTCCCCTCCCCCCTTAGCTATGTGTAGGTAAAATATATGGAGACATAGCTGTAAATACCACGAGCAGTGCATGTGATGCAGCCACGTAGCAGTAGCAGCATGGCCCCAGCCCGGCGCTGCCACCGCCCCCGGCACCGCCGTCCCCACCTCGGCCTTCAGCGAGGGAGGACACGGCGACCAAGGAAACTCATCGCTCGAGAGCTCTCCACCGCCCTGGTTATTTCCCCCCCCTCAATAAAACGAAAACCCCCAATAAAATCATGTAAAAGAAGAAAAATAATGCCAAGAAGCAAAAGCATGCCAAGCCCGGCCCGCCAGCGGAGCCGTCACCGACGCAGCCCGTGCCATCCATGTGTGTCTTGTTCCTGTACCTCGTCGCGTTTGTCCCATGGCCGGGTAGCGGCAACATCGTGGCTTCCGTGTCCTGTGTCGCGTTGGTTCCTTTCACCGTCAGAGCAACTTTAGAAGCCATATAAGAGCACGGTGCGCCGGGACCCCGCGGGGGCGGCCCGCGGTGAGCCGTGACCTCCTTCCCCCCGTGTGTCCACCGTCCCCCTGGTTTCGTGGGGCTCAGGCTGCCAGGACGAGCATCGGCCACTGCCTCGGTGGCCACAGATGCCGCTGCCATACCGGGCAGGGAACGGGGCAGCGCTGGGCGCAGACGCCGGGGCCGACCTGCCGGGGGCATTTTTGTGATGGAAAAGCTGGTGGTGAAAATGCTTTTCGGAGCAATTTGGGTTATATCTGCCACGTCCAGTCAGGTGGTTTCTGTTTTTGGGGGTGAGAGCTGGCATTCCCCTCTCCTGGCTGCCCCGCGGAGCAAACCCAGCTGTGCCACAGAGATGCTCCCGGGGTTAAAAGGAAGAGAAGCCGCGAGTCTTGGCAACAGGCTCTGCTTTCTTTTCCTTTTTCCCCCCTCAAACTGGAAGAGAGGAGCCAGCTCCTTCGGGAGTCGCAGGCTCGGCCGTTCCCGGACCCCCAGTGCCGGCCCCGCTCTGCCCCGTCCCGGCCCCGCAGCGCTCGGCTCCGGCGGAAGCTGCTTTTAACGCCCCTTCCCCTCGTGTGGACTGTGTCGTTCCCGTCTCTGATCGTTCGATGGTTATTTTGTAATGATCTCTGTCTCCTTATTAAAGAAACGAGCTGAAAGGAGCTGGTTCCCTTCTGGTCGTGCTGCTGGGGCTGGTGGGGCACCCGCGGAGAGGGGCAGGTCCCAGGGTAGGGACCCCAGGGACAGTGGAGGGAATGAGGTGTGAGGGGAACCCCATGAGTGCCCAGGTCCCCCGAAACATGGAATCATGGAATCACCGAGGTTGGAAAAGCCCTCTAAGATCATTGAGTCCAACCATTCCCCCCAGCACTGCCATGTTCACCACTAACCACGTCCCCAAGTGTTACATCCACATGTCTTCTGAACACTTCCAGGGATGGTGACTCCACCACTACCCTGGGCAGCTGTGCCAGGGCCCAAACAGCCTTTCAGTGAAGACATTTCTCCCAGTATCCAACCTAAACCTCTCCTGGCATGGCTTGAGGCCATTTCCTCTTGTCCTGCCCCTTGTTCCCTGGGAGCAGAGCCCGACCACCCCTGGCTCCCCCCTCCTGTCAGGGACTTGCAGAGAGTGAGAAGGTCTCCCCTGACCCTCCTTTTCTCCAGGCTGAGCTCCACCAGCTCCCTGTGACTTGTTCTCAGCCTTGAGCCCTGGGCCTTGGCTGAGTGTGGTGGACCAGACATGGGGCACAGATGGTCTCCACCAAATTCTTCCCCCCCGGCAGAATCTGGTCCCTACAGTCATGTTTAGGTCCTGCCCTGCTTTGCAGACGCACTGGACACCCCCAGATCCCAAGGGAAGAGCTCAACCTGCTCCAACCACCTCTGAAGTCTGGAACACATGCAGGTTTCCAGCAGCCTCACCTGGGACAGAGGATCCCAGATGTGACACCATCACCTGCCCGTGTCTTTGCCACACTTTGTCCTGGCCAAACTCCTGAGAAGAGCAAACACAGGACTTGGCAGAATGGGGGAGATGGTCCTGACCCCCAACGTGGTTCCAAGGAGCAGATGGGACCCTCTCCCTTTTGCCTTCCCACTGGTGAGAGGCTTTCAGGGATATGCATCCCAGTTCCTTCATTTCAGCTTCCCCTGAACAGGCACCTGTGTTGTAGCTGCTGCTGTAGCATTTGTGCTTTTATGGATGATGGACACTGTTATGCCACGAGAATTTTGGGAGAAACACAGAATTTTAGTCCAAATAACTTATAATTCCAGAAAGACGGAAGCAAGGTCAAAGCTTCTATTTTATCAACTCTTATTTTATTCATTTATAAATACTGTTGTGTTTACAAGCATCATAGCTGTGAATATTATTCCCAAACTTTCAAACACACTTATAATACTATATAACAACAACCAGTAAAACAAATCATTCATCTCAGGGTTTGAAAGGCCACTCAAAAGTTGCATAAAAATACATTCTCTCCCCATCTCGTCAGCCAGTCCTGCTTCTCCAAGGAGTTTATTTACAAAGAGCCATCATAAAACTTGCAGCCACAACAGGCGGGTTCACCCCAAGCAATAAAAATGAATTCACCCCAAGCAATTGCTTAGAAAAAAAAAAAAACCTCGTGTTCCCTAAGGGAAACACTTCTCGCAAATGCTCTGGTTCCAAGAGGGATCAGTTTTAAAACCTGCTCGCTCTGCACCCTGTCCCATGCACAGGGTTCAAGGTGTCCTGTTTGTCACCTCCTCAGTGCACTGGTTATGTCAGGCATGAAGTGAGACAAAAAAAGTTAATTCTCAAGAATTTGGTTTGCAATTGCACCGTCATTGGGAAACGCTCACAGCTTTGGCTGATCAGGGACACTGAGCTGTGGGGGCCCTCCCCCCTGGCTGGGGTTCAGGGGGGAATCCAGTGCTAAGCAGACACTTCAGCTAAAGCAGTTCGGCTTTGCAAGGTGCCAGTTAGAGGAACAAGCCTCCCACAGCCTTCCCATACTGTTCCTTAGGAAAAAAACACAGTGAGTGTCCTGCTAGGAAGGGGCAAAACATCAGTGTGGGATAGGTTTGTCAGATTGGGTTGAACCCTCTCCCTAAAACAGACACCAGGCTTCTTCCTGCTGCCAGGAACCCGCCCTGTGAGAAGAACAGGATCTTTAGTGTGAACTCTCATCCTCACCATCAGCTGGTGAGCATCTTCTCCTCCGCACGGCACAGAAGGGACCAGGCTCCTGATCTCCTGAGCAGAGCCAAGAGCCTGAGGCTGGAGTGAGGAGCAGGTCACCAAGAGAGAAAACATCAAGAACGGTAGAAGTACTCACATAAAGAGTGCACCAAGAGGGAATGGCGTGCAGGGGAAGCATTGACCGGATCTCAAGACTTAAAGCTGTTAAATAGAGCAGGGTTAAAATCAAGGAATATAAAAAGGACGCCTGGTTTAGGCAGTGCTCTGCAGAAACCCTGATGCCTTTACCAGCTTTGGTCTCTTCCTCCCAAAGCTCAGCAGCAGAGGAAGGGCCTCAGTGTACCAGGAGAAACGGCACCTAACGCCATGCAAACGGCTCCACCGGCTGAAGAGGAACCTCTGGCCAGAGCTGCCTGGGGAAAGATGGCAGCTCTAGGAAGAGCAAGAGAGGTGGAAACAGGCAGGACAGGGAGGGGAAGGGGGAAAGATGGAGAACTGGGAGGGAGGGGGAACCCAAAGAGAAAAAAACCCAAGGGAGAGAAAAATAAAGATGCTTTCTGAGGCAATAACCAGCAAAAGGTTCCAAAAAGCCCAGGATTTACTGATAAATTTTACCCTGTTGAGCAAGCTCAAGTATTCTGCTCAAGTATCTCATCTCTCCCTCCCAGAGCAGAGCTGCCTGGGAATGTGGGCAGAGCTGCTTCATCGCCACCTCCAGGTTCAGTGACTGAGGCTGCAGCCCTTGGCCAGACGGAGCTGGGAGTCCAAGGACAAAGGGAATGAAAGGACAAATATGGAAGGATGTAGATGGGAGAGTGGTTTGGATACAGCAAGATGTCTCTGAGAGGGAAGGTATTGTTCGAGAGGAGTCAGTTAAGGGGAAGCTGAACAGACCTGATGACAGGTCCCACAGCATGGAGAGAGGAGCCAATGCCCATGGGGAGAACAATTCCAAGCTGTTCTGAGTGCATATAAGATTAAAGAGGGGTATTTTTAGAGGTTTCCTTCAAGGTCAAGGCTTATCACAAGCTTTTGACAGGTTAGGAGACTTTCATCACAGTGATTCAGTCACCAGCAGCTCCTTGTCTGTCTGACACCGACGCACCCTCACCTTTCCAAGGTGTGTGGGAGGACAAGTGATCACTGCTCCATGGTCCTCTGCCTCGGAATCCAGCTGTGCCAAGTTGCTTCACCAACAGAAGGGTGGGAGGGAACAGGACTCTGGCATTTCCCCTCTCTATAAATTCTGCTGCAAATCCAAGTGAGGTACCCAAAATACCAGACCAGACTCCACTACGGGGCTCTGCCTTCATGGAGACAGCAGAACGTCCCAGATGGCTGTTAGGACAGGGAGGCTGGTTTCTGGTGTGGGCACAGCTCCCTGCGAGGTGATTCATGCTCACACATGTGTAAAAGCAGCACAGGGTCTCTAAGGGTTCAAGCTCGTCCTTCAGAAAGCTCAGAAGACACCTCCTGTCCCAAGGAGCAAGAGTCCAGGTGCAACTGGGTGCTACTAATTACAGACAGGAGCCCTGGAAGAACACATGGAATCACCCAGGCTGGGTGAAAGGGAGGGTGAGGGATAAGGGTCTGATGCCAAGTGTCAGTGCTGATGTTACCGAACAGGTTCAAAATCTTAAATAAAGGACTGGGTCTACTGGGGCAAGAGGAGGAGAAAGTCTCTGTGCAAAGCAGCCTGTGACAGACATGAGCCCAGGTGGCTTTCACAGCATCACATTTAGCCAGTCCCACATCTCAGTGGGTTGATGTGCATCCTCAGAGTCCCAGCCTGGGTTCACATCTCCCACCTGTACACGGCTTGGATGTGCTGGATTAGTTTTTGAGGTGTCATTTTTTACAGTAGGAGCTTCCCGCTCCAGGTCAGAGTCCGACACCAAATACTGGGCTTCTGGAAGAAGTTTTGGCAGCTCAAACCCAGTCCTCACGTTTCTCCCTTGAATAAAATGTCCGAGATACCACAACATGCTTAAATTAAAAATAATAAAATGGCAGGGGGTGTGTTGGAGGAAAATAGGGGTAGAAAGGGAATGTACAGCAAAGGGCAGGGCAAGGCAGGTGTGACATTGATCCCATGGCTGAAACACTTGCTGTACGTGACAGATGGGAAAGGGGGGGGAGGGCTCGTGGTGGGGTTGGCAGCTGGTGTAGGGCCCCTCCTCATCCTGCCTTTGCTCAGGATTCCTATTTGGAGAGTTTGCTGATGACACGAATGAGGGCTCCATTCTCATCCTTCAGCCTTTGGTTGTCCGACTTCAGCTCTGTCAAAATCTGCAGAGAGACAAAGACAAGGTGGGATCAGAGCTCAGCTCAGACGGACCAGAGGGGACGTTGCATCCCCTCCACCCAGCACAGTTCCATTTCTCTGGAGCATCTCCAGAGCTTTTACAAGCTGGCTGCCAGGCGTGGAGGGTGACAGGGGACTCGAGCACAGCAGAGCCAGGGGGCCCCGAGCCTGGAAGTCCGTGGTGCAAAGCAATGCCACGGCCCCAGCAGCAGGTCAGCACCAGGCTGGGAGGGCAGGAACCACTTCTGAGCTGTTTCACCCCAAACCTGTGCCCAGAGGCTAATTAGAGCTCAGCACAAAATGATAAAGCTGGTTTTCCTGCTTTGTTTTTTTCCATTTTGCCAGGACTAGAGAGGAAAACAAAGGTCTGAAATTCTCACTTAGGACTGGACCCTGCAAAATCTCTTTAGAATACCCCCAAATCTCCTTGGGACCCCACAGATGTGTAACACATGCTGAGGCCAGAGGACTGGTAGAACACACTGACACTGGAGGTACCTCCTGGGTGCTCAACCAAGGGTTACAACACAGACAAAAGGCTGAGCACTTTGGAAATAGAGAAGAAATAACTCCAACAAGACCCTTCCAGCATTTCTAATTGGCATAAACCCTCCCAACTTCCCATGCTCCCCATGCTGCAGGCGGGTGACCTTCAGTGGACTGTTCCTGGCCGTCGGGGCACCAGGAGGAGACTCCCTACCCCCGTCCTGGTGTGACAGACAAGGGGTCACTCCCACCACAGGTGCCAGCAGACCACAGGGTGACCTGCTGGAGCACATTGGGGGACAGCAGGGTCACACACAGGCATGAACAGCACCGGTATAAGCTCAGCCATGACTTCTCTCTGCCAAGGTGAATCTTGGAGGAATTCCCCCAAACCCAAAATCTGCACTAAATCTTCTCCTTCCTCCTAAGCTGGAGTTTCAGCTCTGACCACAACACCTGCTCCCCTCCACCTGCAGCCCCTCCACAACCACTGGCACAGAGTGCAGGCAGTTCCTGGGGCAGTGCTGGAGCAATTCCCTCCTTTCACAGTCAGGCCAAGCCATGGTGGCCCCAATACTCCCAACCCCATCCCTGTGGGTGCTGGTGGTGGATGGTCCAGGCAGGAGGTTTTGCTAGAGAGGGAAGAAGGGAGTGGTACCACATGGTGGGATAGTGGGGAAAGAGTAAACTGATGTGCTGGGCTGGGCAGAGCTCCAGCTAGTGACTCTGGAAGTGTCTCCCTGGACCCAGTGGTGGTGTGATGTGCATCACCATGGCTGGGCTGTCACCAGAACAGCACTTATGGCTCCTTACAACATTTCTCATGGCCAAAGGAGAGGCATTGCCATCATCAAGTGCTCAGGAGCTCAGAGACAGGGCAGAGCCCTTGCTGTCTCTGCACCTTTCTGCTTCCTCCTGAGCTTCACCCAGGGCTCAGTCCGGTGCCTCCCAATGCCCTGTGACAGCTCAACCACCACTGGAGTCTGTGGATGGACAGTCCTTGTCCCCCCCTGCCTGGAGTGGATAAGTGCCCATCGCTGTGATAAGGGGGGTACGAAGTCCTGCCACTCGCTTTGGTAGAGAGAATCTGTCACAGGATCCCAGAAACAACTCCAGAGAGAGCCACCCTGGTCCCACAGCTCACCGGGAGCTCTGGCAGCAGCTGTACCTCACACATGGGCTCCAGGTAACTTCAGTGATTTATTTAAAAGTGAAGAAGTATAAGTGCATGTAAAATAAGTGTCTCTGAAAAAGTTTCCTGGTTGTATCCCTGCTCCCATCAGTGTCCAGTGAGCCTTTCTGAAAGCGACACATCAACCCTACACAATTTCACCCTTCCTGAGTCAAGGGCGTTCCTCCCTTTGAAGCTGAGTGGCCTCAAGTTGGGTAAAATAAACAACATGTGAACAGGCTGGGCTGGAAATTACAGCTTTATAGGTGTCTCAGGTGCAGTGAGGAGGGATGTGGCCTAGCCCCAGGGGATGGCAGGGCTGACAGTGATGCAGTGTCGGTGTAAAGTCAGCTTTGGGCTGGAGGATGGTCTGAGCAGAAGGGCTCTGTGATACCTGTGATACTGGAGAAGGTGGCTCCTCAGAAATTATGTGAGTTTGGGAAAATGGGGTTCTTTGAAAAGCACTGCTGCTGCCAGGGCATGGTGAATATGAAAACAGTGGCATCATTGTACAGCTGTGATGTCCACAGACACCTCTGAGCCAGGGTTTACATGTGCCAGCAACAGCCTGTTGCCTGTTAGACCTACTAAAAGAGTTGAAATAAATCAGTGGAGCAGCATATGGCTCTTCCTCAGCTCGAGCATCGCAGGGAATGGCAAACCTGAGTGAGGAGGGAAGGATGAGCCCGGCCACAGCTCAGCCAGACAGGTCACCCCTGAGCAGGGGGGATGGAAGGGAAGTGATAACCCAGGCCCTTCCCGGGAGGAGAAGAGAGGTGACTTGCAGGTGGTAAAACATCAGTTCTCTGAGTCTGGAAATGGTTTTGCCCAATTTTCCCTCTCAGATCTCAAAGCATGTGGGGAAGAAGAATGACTCATGGCTTGTGAGAAGGAATGAGACAAGGATGGGTCGGAGGATACTTTTGCAGATTTAAAACAGAAAGGCAGTGAGATCATTGCACCTGACCATCTGCACAATCCAGGGCACACAGCATGACACTCGACTCTCCCAGCCCCTGGGACACACATGTGGGCTTGAGCTGAGACTCCTGGAAAGGGGAAGCCACAATTCCCCTGGTTAGTTTGTTTCTATGGTTAATCAGCCTTGATATAATTTGTGTGCTAAGAATAGATTTTTTTATACCGTGGTGCCACTTCCAGCCCACAAGAGCACAGTGCTTCTGTGTCTGAAGGGATCTGAATATCCCTACTAACCTGCAAAGGACAGGCAGGGCCCCGAGAAAGGAGCAGTTACAGCTTTATTTTAGCACAGAGCCAATGAAGTAGCAGGAAGGGATGTAATTTAGCTGTGTGATGTGCTAGGGCAAAGCTTAGGAAAGGGTCATCTTTGGGTTTCAAACACTAAGTGCCCTGCACTGGATTTAAAACAGAAGATGGAAACACAAAGCACTCCTGGTCCAGCTCCTGCTGGGTCCTCCATCCTGCACCAGCCCACAGGAGGCAGGGGGGATGTTGAACCTGTGGGATCAGACTCAAATATCTCCATTTAAAATGAGGGAAGGAGGTTGTCCTCTTTGCTCAAGTGACCAAGAAAAACTGCTGAGGACAGCTCAGTTTGTAGTTTTTCTAAAAATCCCCTTTCTGTCTAAAATGTGCACTTTTCACAACATCCCTACCAATTTATGACACTGTTCATCCTGACTTTGGATTATCTGATTTCCTGAGTGCCAGCTTCTCCCTGAACTAAGTCCAATTAAAAAAGAATTCTATTATGAGCCGACATAGAGCATAAACCATCTATTTTCAGATGTCCAGGGTCCAGGTTGGACGGGGCTTGGAGCAATCTGGTCTAGTGGAAGGTCTCCCTGCCCATGGCAGGGGGCTGGAATGAGATGAGTTTTAAGGTCCCTTCCAATCCAAACCAGTCTGGGGGTCTATCTCCAGGCAGGGTACTGGGCACAGGGCTGCTGGCACTGCCAAGCCACCCCAAAGCCATTTCCCAGTGCTAAGCTGGCGAGGTTGGCAGCACTGCCAAGCAGAGCGAGAGCCAGCGGGATGAGCAGAGCCTCCAGCAAAGCTCTGCCATGGCAGCAGTACCATGCTTTTGGAATTTTGAGGATTCTTTGCCACAAGCTTTTGAGCCCCAAGCATCACCAGACACCCTGGACAGCAGGGAGGCGAGGGAACAGCCCGGCCAGGGAGCGGAGACCTGCCTGGAAGAGTGGAACAGGGAGGCGAGATGAGCCGGAGGGGAAGCAGCTACAGCTCCTCTGATTCTGAGGGCTTGGTGGGCAGAGAAAGTCTGGCTACGACCCGGGTCAGAGCCCTGTTCTCAGCCAGCAGTTGCTCATTCATCTGCCTCAGGGTGTGAATCTGTTTGAGCTGGTGGAGATTCTGCAGAGAGTGAGAGGAGTGGATAGAGAAACACAGAGAGAACATCACGGAGACAAACGGGCACAGAAATGTGAATTTAGTCCACAGGGAGTGAAAGGAAAAAAGAGAGTAAAAGAAAAATTAGTAGCAGTGAGTGCTGGATAGGGAAAACCTGTCAACACACTGAGGATGTTTTGAGAACCCTCCCTTTCTCCAGGGACGCTCCCAAAGCCTTAAAAAAGGTCAAATAAAGTGATTTTCCACCAAAAAGCAGGATTATATTCTAGTTTACCCAGACAGCCCCGGGACTTGGGAACTGCTGTGAGACCTATCACCATTGACTTACCACCTACACAGGCTCTGAAAGCACTGCTGGGAACTGAGAATTTCTTTAAAACTTCTTTTCTTCATGTTTCTCTAAAAGTTAAAGCAGCTGTGTAGAGCAAAGAGCGATCAGAGCTTCATGGGAGATTCTAAAGGTACAGACCTAAAGGTACAGCATCTGCAAGTGTCACTGTCCCACAGCAGATCACTGAGACAGGTACTGTGCCTGCTCGTGTCCCTTGTTCCTGAGTGATGCTTCTGGGTCTGCCAAGGCTCAGTCCTGCCAAAATGTTTGAGGTTTGGGGAGGTTTTTGACCTCTGCCCAAATTCAGCTCTTCTCTGGGGCTCAATTTCTCTCTGACCTCCAGAGGTGGCAAGTCTGAACCTTAAGTCTCTCATTTTAGCTGGAGGAGTCTGAATGAGAGCATCTCCCACAGGAGGGATGTACCAGCCTGGCATTCCTGGTGACAAAGGCAATGGTAAGCACAGGACAGTGCAGAGATTGAGCCCCACGCTGGGGCTTGCAGAGGTACAAACTGGGCACAGATACAAACTGGGCACAGGTACAAACTGGGCACAGATACAAACTGGACACAGGTACAAACTGGGCACAGATACAAACTGGACACAGGTACAAACTGGACACAGGTACAAACTGGGTCTTGCACAGGTATAGAGGCAATGGAAGGTAGGGAACAGAAAAGCCATGAGGGAAGCAGAATGTGGAAATGGTACAAGCCAAGCAGACATCCCAGTGCCACACGGACGACACTGTTGCCAGTGATGCGAAAGCTAATCCATGTGCTGGACATTTACACCAACGTGGGTGCCAGCAGATGTCAGGGCTATGGAGCTGCTTCCTGAGCCATGGCCTGACCCTCTTTCCTACTCAGAACTCATCAGGCAGAAGGGCCATGAGAACAATAACCCCTGCCGAACAGGAACCCCTCCTGCATGGTGGGGGGAGCCCCAGCACTGGACAGGGGAAGGCAAGAAGGGAAATATTGAAAAGAAGAGTTGTAAGTTCAAGTGACAGAATCCCAGCTCTGAACCAAAGTAGCTCCACAAAGCACCATGCTCCTCCCCATGTCCTCTGACTTGTGAGCTCGCAGCAGCAGGAGGAAATGGAGGGAAGGTCTCTGGGGAAGGGGATTCCTTTTTGCCATTTCATTAGCGGAAAGCGCTCCAAGGGAGGTCACTGTCTGTCCTGAACCAGGAGCTGCACAAATAAATCTACTGCATCACAAAGAAGCTGCAATGACCACCCACCCAACCTGCACGTCTTAGGTTGCCCAAAGAAGCTGTGGCTGCCCCATCCCTGGAAGTGTCCAAGGCCAGGTTGGACTGGGTTTGGAGCAACCTGGGCTAGTGGAAGGTGTCCCTGCCCATGGCAGGGGCTGCAACAAGATTAGCTCTGAGATCCCTTCCAACCCAAACCAGACTGGGATTCCATGATGACCAAGAGCTGGCTGCAGCTGGCAAGGAACCTGCTGCATCCCAGGACATTTTGTCCAAGGGCTCATTCCTGTACAAAACAGAAGTACTTTGTGTATGCCCCATCCATCAGCTCCATTCTTAGCTGCCCAAAAGCTCTACCTCTGCTCCTCATGAAGGAATGAAGACACCCTGTTGAAATGCTTTGCAAAACCAACAGAAGTAAGGTGGGGAGTGCAGGGAGCCAGCAAAGTATGGGGCTTGAGCCCCCTGAGATCATCACACTGACAAAGCAGCTCCTTGGACACACCAATGCAATTCTGACACTGGATAAATCAACAGGTCCCGAGACAGAGCCTTGGCCAACAAACTGCAGGAGAGCTGCAGGGACGCTTCAGCAGTGAGATCTGCGCTCACCACATCCCATCCATCCATCCATCCATCCATCCATCCATCCATCCATCCATCCATCCATCCATCCATCCATCCATCCATCCATCATCCATCCATCCATCTATCCCTTCACCCGCCCGAGCTGTGCTGGCTGCCTGTGCACCAGAAGCTGCCAGAGGATGGTTGTACTGGAAGAGTCACTTCTTTTGGTGGTACCAAAGGCAGCTGAGGTCACTTGGTCTGTTCAGACTGGAGAAGAGAAGCCTGAGATTAGACCTCATTGGGGTTTGCAGCTTCCTCATGAGGGGCAGTGGAGGGGCAGCTCCGATCTCTGCTCTGTGTGAGCAGTGACAGGACCCGAGGGAACGGCTGGAGCTGTGTCAGGAGAGGTTTAGGTTGGATATCAGGAAAAGGTTCTTCCCCCACAGGGTGTCTGGGCACTGGAATAGGCTCCCTCAGGCAGTGGTTACGGCCTCAAACCTGCCAGAGCTCAAGGAGTGTCTGGACAATGCTCTCAGGTACATGGTGTGACTCTTGGGGTCCTGTGCAGGGCTAAGGGTTGGACTCGATGATCTCTGTGGGTCCCTTCCAGCTCAAGAGATTCCATGATTCTACAATACCATGGACAATAAGCATCCTCTGTTTTACCACAGGGCTCACAGCTGGCAGAAAACATCCAACATATGTAAAATGAGGTGTTGTGCTACGCGAGGTGGAAAGGATTGTGATCATTTCAGAGACCACCTTTGTTTTTCCACACCAACATAGCATGAAACCTCAGCATGGTCCCATCAGCCGCCGCTCAGCCTCAGCATGCTGCACAGCCCACAGGAAGGACCATTTATGTAAAAATGTACATATGCTGCAGGTAGGCCAGGCTCCTATTTATCCAAGAAACTCAGCAAAGGCTGGGAAGCTGGGACTGAAGCCAAGAGTGAAGACCAGGATCTGGATGATACTGCTGTGATTGCTTATCACTCTGCTTGATACTTGGCTTAGCCAAAGCAGGTCTCTCAGTTCAGCTGTACTTGCCTTCAGTTAAAGGATTTTGTGCCTGCAATACTGGGGGAAACAAAAACGCCCGGAGCGTGCACGATGGCCGAGGCCAGGAGCTGCCACGGAATAAAGAAGCTTCTGTGACCTTCAAGAAAAATTACTCTGTTCAGTTGGGACCTTGGGCACTTGGCACCGAATTCAGCTCAGTGCAAATGTTAATTTTCTTTCTCCTGTCTCAGCCAAGGTTCTGGATCTCCAGTCAAATTCTGCAGTCGCTCAGGGAAATGCTGCACCACTCTGTCACCTTCGCAAGAGCAGGTCTGAGGAGCAGCTCTGCCACCAAGGTTCTTGAGATTGCTGAGCCCATCCCACTCCTCTGCACTTCTCGATGGCTTTGTTAGCAGAGGTTACACTCAGGACAGGAACAAAGCTCATTGCCTCAAGCACAGCCTGAAGTACAAAGCATTTCTGTCACCTGTGAGGAGAATCCTGGCCAGGACATCTGATGTGTGGAACTGGATATACACTACCTGGGATCAAGTAGCTGGATGTGAGCCTTGCTGGATCTGTTTGATTCAAAGACTAGTGGAAAGAATCCCCCAAACCAACCTGACACCTTATCACCTGGCAAGTTTGGTTGCTTCCAACTGCTGAATAACCTTCCATGTTCAAGGAAACTGGTGGATTTGGTTACTCCTTTCCAATTCCTTCTTTATTCCTTCTGACTCTGCTTGACAGCTACTCAGGCAGCGCATGGAGCAGGAATGAAAGTCCAACCAGAATTAACAGATTTTTTTCCTGGCTCAATTCCCACACTGGGGACTAACAGGGATGCTCTTTGGAGGTTATCTCACGGCAGGCAAACACAGCAGGGCTGACTCTCCTGCTTCAAGGAACGATGAGAGTGGACACAAAAGTGCTTTTCATATGCACAGGTCCAATTCAATACTTCTTTCTTCAGAAATGTTATACTCCTTTTTATTGAGTGGCTGTCAAAAAAGACGTCACAGTGCCCTCAGGTACTTACTCACCACGTGCTGAAGGTTTTGCAAACACTAGTGAAAATGCAATAGTGCCTCAGAAGAGAGATGTTACAATTTCTTATCTATTTATTCTACTAAGAAAAGGCCACTTTGGTTATTTGATGCAGCAAGAACAGTGCAGAGAGCAGAGTCAGCACCACTCTGAGGACCTGAAGCTCATTTTCAGCTGGACCACAGACTCCTTCAGCCCACACCTCTTGGGGCAGTGTGAGAACACTGTGTGCAACCTCTGGGAGTGCTTCTTCTTCTGCACCACCTTGGCTTCCATCATTCTGCAGCTCTGGATTATCCAAACCAGAGGTGTTCTGGCTGTGTCCAACAGTCCCTACAGGCACCTTCCTTCATTAATTGCTCTCCAAACCAACATCAATGTTCCCAAACAGAGAAGCCACTAGAGGACACCACTTTGTCTTCTTACTCCAGGGGCTGAGTTGGTTTGCAGTGATTTGGAGAGCTGAAGGACCAACACAAACTGCTCCCACCTGTGTTTCTCTTGAAGGCCACAATTCTGTAATTACAGGAAGGTCTCACTGCAGATAAAGGTTGTTACCTGCTCACTGAACAAAGAGGTTGGAATTTAGGCATATCAAATCCTTTCTTCTCCCCCTCCTGGCTTGAACATCCACACTTATTTTCTCCTCTGTGAGGGAACAAGAGCCTTTACAGAAGACTCCACCACATCATTCTGCTACTAATCACAGCATAAGATGTAGTACAAGCCACTGATCCTTTCAAAGCTTCAAAGAGAAACACAAAGTTGGAACCTCCTCTAGAATGGCAGGAACTCATTTCCACCAGCAAACCCGGAGAGCTCTCAGGTGGGTTCTTCTGAAAGCAGCTTAGTCCCACCTGGGTCATGCTCAAAGGGAACAGAAGCATGGGCACAGAGCAAAGGGGACATTCATTCTGTGAACACGAGCGTTAAAACACAGCGTAACACGACGTGATGCTGCAAAACCAGTGTGAAATTTTAGGTGCACAAAGGCAGCAAGATGCTGCCTCCTGCTCTGCAGTGCTCACCCCTCTCCCAGGGCAGGAGAGAACCATCCTCGAAGCAGGACCACGAGAGAGAGAACACGATGGTGGCGATGGCTTGTGACACTAAGCCATGCTGCACATCTCACCAGGAAGCGAGTTCATCTTTGCTGAAATTATCACAGGCCTCCACAGCCTCCCAGTGACATGCTTTGGGGAACAATCGCTCTGTGTTTTGTCCTGGCCAGTGTGCGTGAGCTCAAAAGCCAGCTTTGTCTTCTTACCCATCCGGAGAGAACTTCAGCGGCTTAACTTGGGCTGCAGACTAGTCAGAGCACAGGGGGTCAGCACACTGGAACTCAGCGATGCCACAAAAGGTTAGTTTGGGAGGGCATTTAAGGAGAACAGCTTTCACCATTCTCAGATCAAACAGCAGAACAAATCAAACATAGGAGCAATCAGATGAATGAGAACAGGACAGTTTATTAGCATTTCATGTTTGGAGAACAGGGCCATTGAAGCCTGACTGCAGAAAGGAATGCGGGTCCCCTCCCATGGACACCTTTAATATCCTCCTCCTGGGCGACAATCCCAAAAGACATGAATACAAAATGGAATAGACACAGTGAAGATTATTTCTTACCTTCATCTCCTCCTCCATTTCAGAGAGTTTCCGCTCCAGGGCTCGCTTCTCCTGTTTACAAGGATTCATAACAAAGAGGGTCACAAGATTTGAGAAGAAAAATTTACAGTATATTTTCTTTTAGAGAAAAATAAGGGTCTTGTATTTCTGTAGGAGCATTCACTGAAGAGCACCCCAAAGCAAGGCAGAGGCTGCAAAGCTGTAAAGCTGACTGCCTTAGGTGTATTGTGGAAAATGAGGATTACACAAGTAGGCTCTGCCATGTGAGTGCTGGTGGTGCCCTCAGCTACAGCCTGTGCCAGAGTGCAGATCTGGATGCCTCCAATGATTTTCCCAAAATGAGGGGGCTCACAACACCCCAGGGACATGCCCTGAGAAGGGAGAAATAGGAAATGTAGGTCAGGAACTGGATTTACACTCTCTGTCCTGCTCCTTTGCCCTCTGCAAAGAGACACAAGGTCAGGACAGTGAGGAAAATGCAGCTGCTGGGTGTGGCTGTGCATGATGAGGTTTGGGTCACTTTTTGTCCCCAGCGTACTTTGTCCAGGGATTCATCAGTGCAAAATGCATGAGCCATCCTGGAAACAGCTAATGCCATCTTCACTGAGAACAGTCGGGCTCTTTTTTACTCTCTAACTCTCAGAAAGCTGTATTTGTGGCTGTTGTGACCCTAATTCAACAAAAATCAAGCTGGATGTTGCCACAACTTCAACAAGACCAAGTGGAAGGTCCTGCCCCTGGGTTGGCAACCCCTGGTATCAACCCAGGCTGGAGGATGAAGAGATTGAGAGAAGCCCTTCAGGCTTTTGCTTTGTTCCCCCACCACGCCAAACCAGTCTTTATTTATAAAGGATCAAGAATATTCTAAAGCATAATGGACCAACAGTCTCTTAGTGTGATACAATCCGTTGGTCTGCAGTTTCCTATAAGGAAAGAGAGAAATCAGAATGAAGCTGATGTGCAAGAAGAGCAGCAGAGTCTCAGGCCCTGAAAAGGTCAGAACACAATTATCACTGTGAGCTGGCAAAAATACGACTTATCTTTTAATTAACGCTTTCCTTCTAGAAATGACTCTGCCCTGCACAGCAACACGAGGCAACGACTGCGACTCAGAAGAAAGCAGAGACACGTACCCTCTTCTCCATCTCCAGCATGCTGGACCGGTCAGAAGTTTTCTCCTGTTTCTGCTATGGAAATTAAAAATAGAAAGTGATTAAACCCGAGAGCACTCACAGGGTGCGGCACAAAGGCTGAGACAGCCCACAGATGCTCCTGCCCAGAGAGGCAGCAAGGCTTTACAGAATCACTCACTTATTTCTGTGAAAAACAACAGTCTCTTCTATAGCACCTTCCCTCCCAAGAGCATCCTTCCAGGAGCTCCCCCCTCCTTTTCCCATCCTGGAACAAGTGTTGGTTCATCATGGGCAGTATTCAGTTCCTCCAGTCAGGACCTGGATTTTCCCTTACCTGGGCTGCTTTTTCCAACTTTGCTTTGATGTCAGCCAGCTCAAGCTGGGCTTCTTGCAGCTTTGACTTCAGCTTTTGATTTTCAGACAGAGCGCTCTCGTACAACTGAAACACAAAACAAGAGCTCAATTACCCAGGTTGCTCCTGGTTAATTAACCCTGTCCTGCTGTGCTGCTCTGAGCAGACATGTGCCCTCAGCTGTGGGGTTGCATTTGCTCCCCCACATCAGGAGATGAGAATAAGGGCAAACAGAACCAGTCTGGATGCTTTACTCGTGTTTTTGCATGAAATAAGAAAACAGCTGTTGAATTTTGTAGGGAGTTTAAACACAGCCAAAAGGCAAAGAAAAGGGATGTTTTTAGTTTAGGTAATTCTTTACTCAGAGGGTGATGAGGCTGCCCCAAGAAGCAGTGGCTGCCCCATCCTTTGAAGTGTCCAAGGCCAGGTTGGACAGGGCTTAGAGAAACCTGGGCTAGTGGAAGGTGTCCCTGCCCGTGGCAGGGGGTGGAACGAGATGAGCTTTAAGGTCTCTTCCAACCTAAATCATTCTGTGATTCCATGAAACAGATAAAATGAAAATGAACTTTCTCTCTGTCTTCCCACAGACTCTCAAGGGCAGGTTTCTGCAGCAACAGGCAGGTTCTGTGGTGTGTGTGATGACAGTAATACATTTAAAAAAATCCTACTTTTTTATAGTCCCTGTTACTCTCCTCCTCCGCGCGGCTGCTGAGGGCAGCGAGCCGGTTCTCCCTCCGGCTGTAGGCACTGGAGCGGCTGGAGGCACGGTCGCTGTAGGACGAGTCACTGGTGCTGGGGTTTGTAGCTGCTTCCAACCTGGAATGGGATGAAGATCCAGCACCGTGGAGCTGCTGTAACTTGGAACAGCCACCCTGGACCCAACTGGTTGGGACTGGAGGCTGTGGCAGTCCCGGCTGAGCCGGGGCTCTGGGATGGGTGGGAGCATCTCCATCTGCTGCTGGGCATCGCTGCCCAAAACCCGCAGTCACCACCCAATAACAACAGGAAAACACCCCCTGGGCACTAGCCCAGCCCCCATGGGCAGTGATTTCCCATGGATCTCTTATCTCCGTAGTGGGAAAAGGCTCCATTTCTAACAGGCCACTGACGGTTTTTCGTCTCTGCAGTTAAATAATTTAGGGAGCAGAGGACAGAAGCAAACTGGCCTCACAGCTGAGCTCAGGAAAGAACTCAAATGGCCAGTACCAGACCAAATGTGCACTCCCCCGTGCTTCAGGGGACAGGGTTTGGCTTCAAAGTCATACAAAAACATGCTGTCAATAAATATTACATAGGAAAAAAAATAAAGAAAAAAAGAAAATTCTTACCTGGAAAGTCTTTCATGCTGAAGGGGGGAAAAAAAAGGAAAGAAAAAGGGAATTAATAATGAGGAGAATTAAAGGTTCAGTTCAACAACTGCAGAGATGCAAGGCAGCAGCAATTTCCCACCTCTGATACCAGCACCCAGCTCACACCAGGCTACACAGAGATTTCCCAGCACAAACTAAGAATCTCCAATCCCTGCCTGAATCTTCATCTGCCTCAGTTCCTCTGAAGCATTTCAAGATTTACTTTCTTTTGCTCACCTAAGAAATCCTGAACCTTGCTCTTCAATTCCTCATTTCCACAACTGAAATCCTTTCCTTTGAACCCAAACTTATCTACTGTTTCCCTTTTTCAATGGAGTTATTCTTCCTGCCTTTCATCCCTGTCCTGTGTGTGATGTGCGTGAGGGGGATTAACAGACACAGGGAGCTCCCAGCATGTTTGTGTTGAACTTCAGGAAATCACAAACACTGTTTTTCTCTCCATGGGCAAGTACTCCTTGGAGTAAAGCTTCACCACGGCATGGAGAGACACAACAGCAGCTGCAGAAGGGAGGAAGAAGACTCTTAAACCAGGTGGACATGTTGGTTGAAGCCTGTGGTACATTCTTCTTTCTCTATCAACATCCAAACCTCTCCATTGCCTTTGGACATTGAGGGGCTGGAGTGTGTCCAGAGAAGGGAATGGAGCTGGGAAGGGGCTGGAGCACCAGGAGCAGCTGAGGGAGCTGGGGAGGCTCAGCCTGGAGAAAAGGAGGGTCAGGGGGGACCTTCTGGCTCTGCAACTCCTTGACAGGAGAGTGGAGCCAGGGGGGATCTGCCTCTGCTTCCAGGGAACAAGGGACAGGACAAGAGGAAATGGCCTCAAGTTGTGGTAGGGGAGGTTTAGATTGGATATTGGGAAAAATTTCTTCATGAAGAGGGTGCTCAGGCCCTGGCACAGGACAGCAATGGATGCCCCATCCCTGGAATTGTTCAAAAAAGATGTGATGTGGCACTTGTGACATGGGTTAGTAGCAAACATGGGGAATGGTTGGGCTCGATGATCTTAGAGGGCTTTTCCAACCTTAATAATTCCATGATTCTATGAATATCCTACAGCAGCTGGTTGTGGCAAACCACTGTTTTAATACAGTTTTCTGGATCAGACAATTCTTTCCCACAATTGCAGAAATCCAGTGGTGATGGCACCGCTGTCCTGCAGGACAGTCACCTCCTCCATGAGGTTTCTCTCTATCTGACAGATATTTACTCAAATTCCAGGTGCATTCCAATTCTTTATAGTCCCTTGAACCAGAAATTGAGCCCAATATTCCTCTGCTGATTTATCAGCAGCATCATTGCTCTGACAAACCTCCCACAGGCACTTCCAGCCATTTCCCTACGTCCTTTTTAATAAAGAGTCAACACAAAGGAACCACAGAGCAGACGAGGGGTCAGGCTTTTAGTGTCCAGACGTGCTGGTGCTGGAGCTTGCACTCCCAGCTACACCAGTAAATCCTGTGCTAATGCCTTGCTGGGAGGCAGACGTGCTGCCTGGCTGGCACCTCAGGGCTTGAACACTTCAGACCTCCCGCTCCAACCTGGCACTGCTGCCTCTGATCCTGGGCACGGATCTGGGAGCACATGCCATGGAGAGAGGAATTAACTCACCCCATCATATGGAGGAGAAGGGCGGGGACAAGTGACCCGGCCAAATCTCCACTCAAAGCCAGAGGAGCATGGGGGCAAGTCCCTGTCACTGCCTGTCAGGATATGAGGTACTCGTACCTGGTTACTAAATTTTCAATCCATTCCATACTAAATGTAACCCTCATCTTGCATCTGATTCAAGACAGGAGTGTCCCCAGGGAACCTGCAATCCCTGGGCTCTGCAGCTCAGCCTCTGACACGCGATGCAGGAGCTGCCCAGGGCCAAAGAGATTAACGGAAGGGACCCGGCACGAGTGAAACCTTGTGGAGGGACAACACACTCAGCAAAGCTCCTGTGTGCAAAGCTCAAAAGGACAAGCAAGCCCTGCTATGAATCAACACGTTCTCCCTTGAGCTGTGCCCACAGGGCCACCCTCAGCCGGGCTCTTGGGTGGGTACAGTGCCAGCCCCACCCTGTAGACACTGTCACTAAAACCCTGAGTTCGTCCCAGCCCAGGATTATTTTATTTGCTCTGACCTTCTCTCTTCTTTGCATCTTACAGGTGAAAAACCTCCCAAGGAAGACAGCAGATGACCTTCCACCATGTCTAAGCTGCACTGCACCTCCACAAGCCATGTCAGATTCTGTCTGGGAAGCATCTCATGGGACTCAACGCCTGGCAGCTGCCTCATGTCGTGACAGGGACATGGGAGTGCTTGTCCCAACAGTCATGGCTTGGGCCACGCTCTGTACAAAGCTCAGAGGCAGCAAGTTGGGACACAGTTCCTGTACAGCTGGTCTCTGGCACAGGGCTGTCGTTACAAAGACAGACCATAAATCCAACCACATCCTGGGCTCATCCCACAGCGTGGGCAGCAGGAGAGGGGGGGATTCTGCCCCTCTGCCCTGCTGAGGTGAGACCCCACCTGCAGAGCTGCCTCCAGCTCTGGGATCCCAATAGAAGAAGGATGTGGAGCTGTTGGAGCAAGTCCAGAGATACTCTGAGAGTGGAAGCCCCTCTGCTCTGGAGTCAGGTTGGGAGAGCTGAGGGTGTACTGGCCACGGAAGAGAAGGCTTCAGGGAGACCTTAGAGCCCCTTCCATGCCTAAAGGGACTCCAGGAGAGCTGGAGAAGGACTTTGGACAAGGGATGGAGTGATAGGACAAGGGCGAATGGCTTCCCACTGCCAGAGGGCAGGGTTAGATGGGATATTGGGAAGAAATTCTTCCCTGTGAGGGTGGGGAGGCCCTGGTACAGGTTGCCCAGAGAAGCTGTGGCTGCCCCATCCCTGGAAGTGTTCAAGGCCAGGTTGGATGTGGCTTGGAACAACCTGGGACAGTGGAACTCCATGGCAGGGGAATAGAATGAGATGAACTTTAAGGTCCCTTCCAACCCAAACCAGTCTGGGTTCTACGAAAGATTTCCTGTTTTCAGCCATGCACACATTGATCTTACCATGGTCCTTTATTAGCTGAGCTTTCAACATTTGCTTCTTAAACCCCTCAGCAGCCTGACAGCTCCTTTTGAATTCCGGCCCAATGACCCAACCTTCCCTGAAGACTGGGAGAAGGGAATTAGGCAGTGATTAACAAGCCTCTTGTTGAAAGTTATTTGTGCACTTTATGCTAATCCCCTTCAATGGTGACTTTTGTTAGGATGACAAATGGCTGGGTAAGTAATCCACTCCATAGCAAGCCTGAATTTATTTCAACAAACACACCTGCCAATGGATTTGAACAGTGCTGGAAATCCCCACGTGGCTGAGCAAGGCCACGGCTGAGCAAGGCCACGTGGAAACCGGGCACTGAACCCGAGCAGGTCCCCTCACCAGCCTGGCCACTTGCAGCACAAGGAAAAACCACTTTTGTTCCCTTTTTTCCTCCAAAGAAACTAAAATTTCCATAGGCAGGGGAGAGCAGGGGGGGGATTCTGCAAAGGAATCAAGAAAGGAATCACTTTAAACATATACAGCAAAAAGGGGACAAACCCAGGATTACTGTATTTACAACCTTCCTGTGATGGTTACTGAGACAGACTTGTTCAGACTGGGACTGTCTCTATGTGTCTAAAGGAAAGCAAAGTGCCAGATGAGAGGGGAGGACCCACATCATTCCTGTGCTGCTTCCAGCATTGAGCAGAGCCACCCTGCAGTGACCTGGAAACATGGAATCACAGCATCACTCAGGTTGGAAAAGCCCTCTTGGATCACTGAGTCCAACCCTGTTCCCAGGTGTCACATCCACTTGCTTTCTGAACACATCCAGGGATGGTGACTCCACCACTGCCCCAGGGAGTCTGTGCCAGGGCCTGACCATCCTTTCAGGGAAGAAATTTTCCAAAATATCCAATCTAAACCTCCTCTGGTGCAACTTGATGCCATTTCCTCTTGTCCTGTCCCTTGTTCCCTGGGAGCACAGCATCCCCACCTGGCTCCCCCCTCCTGTCAGGGAGTTGCAGAGAGTGAGAAGGTCGCCCCTGAGCCTTCTTTCCTCCAGGCTGAGGCCCCCCCAGCTGCTCCTGGTGCTCCAGACCCTTCTCCAGCTCTGTTCCCTTCTCTGGACACGCTCCAGCACCTGCAGTCACACTGGGGCTGCTCCAAACAAAACCTGGGTGTTCCTTAGTGCTCAGGGATTTCTCTCCCTGTGACTTTATCTCCCTTTAAGCTCATCTCTGCCAACAAACGACTCCAGTGTCTTCCAGAAACAGCAAGGAACCACAGGAATCGACGTGATCGCAGCCCTTGGGGAAGCTGGTGTCCATCGCTCACCTTTCAGCTTTTGGGCCTCTCTCCATGTTATTTCAGTTAAAAGTGGCATTTTTGAGAAAAAGATGATTAAGTCTGAGAGACTGAGGTGTGGAAGGCAGAGCCTGAGGGGATGTGACAGCAGCTGTTGGCGTGCCCCTACCATAATGGAAGCTGCAGAAGAGTTTTCATCAGCAGATCCTTCTTCCACTTGCTGCTGCCTTCAGGGAAGGAGGTACAATTTATTTATTTTGTTTTAAATTGGTTTCTGGATCAAGATTTTTCTGGGTTTTGCAAAAATGCCAGTGTTTGTGCTGGTATTTCAAAGAGCAGCTTACTCAGGTGGTTTGGGGGCTTTTTAAAATAATGACGGAGGAGAAGAAAAAATGCTGAATGAAAAATACAGGCTCCATTCTGCATCTTCTAAAAAAGGTCCCAGCTAAAAGAGGTGATGTGGAAAGCAGCAGTTCTCAGCACAAAGAGAGGCTGTGAAGCGTGAGGAAATGAGTTAAACAAAATGACAACTAAAATCTTCTGCTCCTGAGGGTGGCAGGAGGAGCCTGACAGGAAAAGTGTGAGTCCTACGTGCAAAAAACTACAAGTCAGCATGTTCCCAGGTGGGCAAGAAGGCCAGTGACACCTGG